GTAGTAGCTGATATTTTTTCATGCAAATGAAACACATTTGATTGAGAAATTTATAAGGAAAAAATGTAATTTTGCAAATCTCTTTTAAGAGCAGACTTGACTTGCTTTTTTGAAATTTAGTCTTGAACACAGAGAGCTTCATCAGAAAAATTTCAAAGTTCCAAATTTACCTACTTCCTCTCTCCAGAATAAAATTTCTCATGGGACATGCTTTATTTAGCTAAATGTCCTCAGCTTGCACAGGGCCACTAAGAAATGTCTAAATGAAAGTGTGATGAATGACTTATATCTTAAATATTGAACACCTTACACTGGGGTTATTTCTCATCTTTGTTCTTATAATAAACCTAGACTTCTATTCTCTGTATACTTATTCAAATTTAGACAAAGGGCCAATGTCTGCTGTGTTTTAAATGTGAACTGTCCCTCCCAAAAGGATCATGTGATAAAGGCTTGACCCCCAGCTGGTTGGGCACAATTAAGAGATGATTGGATGGAGGAGGTGTTAGGTTTTTTAGTTAAGGGCCTGATTAAGGCCCTGCAGTAGCCTCTTTTTTATCCCCTCCCATCCCTTCCACCCTGGCTTGTCTGTGAATCTTTAACTCCCTAACAGACTCCCCAGGTGCCCTGAGCCCAGGAGAAAAACAGATGTCCTAATTCAATTCCCACCCCCATCAGCCATCAGAGAGCTACCCTTCCCACTTCTCCTACATACTCAGAGTCACTAATTTCATCCCTGGAATGCAGGCTCTCTCCCCTCCCAGCCACCTGAGAACCAAAAACAGTCTAACTGCAAACAGTACTATGGAAGCTACTCCTTCCCTCTGAAGAGGGAGAATCTGTAAGAAAGGACCCCCGTTGTGCCTCGGGGGTCCAGAACTCTCATCAGAGCTCCTGTCATGCTGTCTGCCTAATCTGTAGCTTGGAGCCTGACTTCTCAGAGACCCTGCCATGGCGTTGTCTGTCTGTCCATAGGTTAATAGCCTTAGTGTCCCTCTCAAATCCCAAGCCCGAGAAGAGGTCAACTTCATCAACGGGTTAATTGATCAAGAGGACATCACAGTTGAATAACAGGCTATAAGGAGGTAGGGCCTAGTTGGAAGAAGTTGGTCACTGGGCATGCACATTTGAAGAATACCCCTTGTTTACTTTCTCGTGTTGTCTCCAGTCCTACATGATGTGAGCTGCTTTGCTTCATTACATGTTCCCACATCCATGAGTATGGACCCCAAAACCAGGACAATAAATAGCCATGGACTAAAACTGAAAAGACAAGCCCTTTCCCTGTGTTTCTCAGATACTGTAAGACAGTGGTGAAATGTGATTAATGGAATGTCTATTTCTTATGTTAAATTTAATTGATGAAAATGGCATATATTTGTGATGTATAACATGTTTTCAAATATGTATACCTAGAATGGATAAACTGAGCTAATTAGCAGTTCCTCATATGCTTCCTCATATGCTCATAAGGTTGTGAGACCCTTAAAATTTACTGTTTTCAAGTATACCACAGATAATTAACTACAGTCACTATTTTGTACAATAGATCTCTTGAACTTACTCCTCCAGTCTAACAAATACCGTAAATTCTACCTACTTTCCCATTACTGTAGGCACTCTGCTGTTTGTTCTCTGTCCCTACCCTTCCCCCCTCCCCCCCCCCCAGCTACTTAGTAAAGCTCTTGACAGGGACCTCATCTTTCTGATCCCTTAATTTCATTTGCCATGCTTTCTTGCTGTAGTGTACCTGCCTTCTCAGTCTCCCCACCTACTGTAAATGGCTCCAGGACAGACTTGCAGCTGTTTCTATTCCTATAGCACAATGCTTATTACATAGGAGTGTTCACTGTACGTTTTACCAAAGAGTAAATATTTGTTAAGGACAAATAATTGAATGATACTGACCAAAACTGGATGAATTGATGCTAGTTACAGACAGTGGAACTTTTCATTTTACATGATAGCAACCATTTAATATTCTTAGCTTAGAAATGAATTTGTTGTTTTACAACTTCTCTTACTCTGAGCATTCTGTTTTTAAATTATTTATATTTATATATATTTCATACAATTAAAAATAAGTAAGCAAAAGTCAGTTATGGTGGCACATGCTTTTTTTTCTTTCTTCCTAACACTAGGAAAAACTAAGGATTGAGGATTGACGGTTCAAGGCTAGCCTTGGCTATATATTGAAAGCATGTTTTAGGAAAAGAAAAAAAAAGTGCTTAAGCAACTAAAGCATTTGTAAAACCTCTTTTGCAAGCACAAAAATAAGACATAATGTCATGGTTAAGGGTTTCAAAGATAATGATAAAATTTACAGTCTTGAAATCTGAGGGTTTAGATTTTAGACTTTTACATGAGGCTAAAATATGTTAGTATGTTGCCCCAAATTGAAAATAGCATGATGTTTTACTAATCTAACATATTGGCTGATAATATAAGCATATATCAAGATAAAGAAGGAGGAAGCTTATTTACTATGGTTGTTCTTCCTACACTAGATTTTTAGTTTGGCTTTCTCTTTTCATCCATAATGTTTAGTTACAGATTTGCCAGGGTGACTCAGCGGTGGACTGGATTCTGACAAGGATGAACAATTCTCCAAACAGGAGATTTAAATGACTGACTACCTAGTTTATTTCGTTTTAGGATGAGTATTATATTGTCTTAACTCTCACACTATCCATTAGATTCCAGTCATGAAATCAGAAATCAGAAACAAAAACTATCTTATATTACAAATGAGAAAATTTAAGCCCAGGAAGGCTTGTCCCACATCACATCATAGAACTCCATTTTGCCTGCAACTTTCATACTTTTTACTCTTAGAGCTGCCTCCTGCTTATTTTTTTTTTTTTTTTTTTTTTTTTACACAAGGCCAGTAATTAGTGTGATGTGGGGGTTCTGAAAAAGGTTTTATTCACCAAGGAATAGATTTCATATTTTCCATAGTCTTCTCTTTTAAAAAATAAAACTACCCTAAGAGGTAAAATAATATAAAGGTATTTATAAAGGAATCTCCCATATATTGAGAGTAACAGCTGTTCTATTTCACACTAAGATCATCATTTTATCAGAATGGAGCCTACAACAGGGGAACCTAAGCAACTAGGGAAGCAAGACCAGGTACCTAGCAGAGATATTCAATTGGGAGGAATGTTCTGGAAAACTGCCTGGACCGGGCTATTGGAAGGCATAGAAAAGGACATTATCTAGGGGGCTAGAAAGATAAGTGGTTAAGAGCATTTGTCACTTGCTCTTGCAAAGGACCTGGGTTCAGTTCCTAGCACCAGGCAAGCAAGTGGTGCATATACATAAATTGAGTCAAATACTCATACACACAAAATAAAAATAAGTACATCTCATAAAAAACAAAAAAACCCCACTATGAATACAGACCTTTTGTATGAAAAGCTAGATCAGTGGTCAGTAACTGGAGATGATTTTGCCTGCTGCCCTTTGGCATTGTCTGTAAACATCTTTATCACAGTTGGGAAGGGAGATGTCCCTGGACATCTCTAGAGGACATCAAACACATGGCAATGCAGAGTGGCTCATACAACAAGAGTAAGTTAGCCAAAATGTCAGTATTTCCAAGAGGACAAAAACAAAAAAACAAAAACAAAAAACTTTAGGAACTAGAGGGCTTGTTACTTTGTGTTTTGTGTACTTAAAAATATAGAAAAATTGTCAGCACACACTAAACTTTTGAGCATGGCTAATAGTTTCTAGGTATTCTGGAGACAGTTTACTTGTAATTCACAAATTCTCACTTCTTTTAGAAGAATATTAAGATGACAGTTCAGTTACATAAATTTGGAAGTTGTCCATCTGTACTCAAAGTCCACCGAGGAATGTTTGATAGAATGAAGTCTTCAGTGGTAACAGAATTCTGTCCTTGGCTCAGTCTTACTAAACACTAGTAAACAATTTTAAATACTTAAATAGAATGCAAATAAATTTGATGTTGATGCTCCAGGAAGGGCTCCAAAAGATGTTGAGCACCTGAACTGATGGTGTGCTTAATTCAGAGGATGTAGCGTAGTACCCTGAGGACACTAACATCCTACACGAGAAAAGGGAAAGAATGTGAAAAGATGGGAGGGGCCTGGAGATATTGGGAACGATGCTTAAAAACCAGGATGAGATGAAATAAACTCCCATGTAAGAAGGCATTGAGGGAGAGTTGTCTCCGCCCTGTGCCCCTGAAGAAAACTCATCGGGCTGAATCAATGGATTCTGATCTAACAGAAGAGGTTTCTGTCTTGGGCTCACTCTCCTAGCACTTTTGGCGTCCACCCTTTTCAGACAGTGGCACAGGCATGTCGTGACAGCCTGGTCTCGGTCTGGGTACAGGCTGGCCCATATGTAACTCCAAATCCTCTCCTGAGAATTCTGTGACAACAGCCGTGGCCCTTCGCATCCTTTCTGGTTTTCAGAAACAGGTCGTCTGCAGAATCAGGCAATTCTGTGGGGCCTCCACACAACAACCAGGTGCTTGCGTCATGGTTGTTTTTTTGTTTTGTTTTTAAGTGAGTGTGTTGGCATTTTTGACCTGCCTGATGGGACAAGAGGAATCTCCTCAAAGGGGATCCGGTTTTCCTCAGGAGATGACGGTCACCCAGGCGCAGAAGGGCGGTGGGTCGTCGAGCGTTAACCGCTTCCGAGTCGGCTCTCGGGGAAGCAGGGCTACCTGCCGCACACAGGCGGGGAAGTGGGCTGAAGCGGCCGGGTAACTCCGCAGCTCCAGCGAGCGCTTCGTAGTTCGAGGCGCGCGAGTGCGCGCGGCCGAGCGCCGGGGGGGGGAAGGGAACGGAGCGGACCAATGAGAGGGCCCCGTCCTCCGCGCGGGGCTCAGGATTGGGCGATCCGGTCCAGCCTCTCTCCGGGCCGTGGGCGGGCTGCGCCGGGAACGGCCTGGGATAGGCGCGCCCGCTGCGCCAGAGTCCCCGGGGGCGCGCGCGCGTGCGCGGCCTCGCGTCAGCCACGGGGGCCGGTCTCGCGCGGTCTCGAGGAGGAGTTGCTGGCGACGGCGGCGACGGAGGAGGCTGGCGGTGGGCAGGGGGCGGGGACTACGGGCTCCGCGGTCGGGGACTCGGGAGTTTCTGGATTCTTTATCCGGGGTTTTGAGGGCCGCCCGCCGGAGGGTTGTCGCTTGGGCCGCGCCGCCGAGGAGCGACTAGGGCGAGCGGATCGGCCGCCGCCGGGGCGCGGAGGTAAGGGGCGGACCCGCGGCGGCGGGGCTGCGGCGATCGTAATCAACAGGTCCCCGGGAGCGCGGCGGGGGAGGGGCGGCGGGGCTCTGACGAGAGTCCCCCGGGGACCCCGGGCTGAGCCCAGCTCGGTGGTGCCAGCCCAACCTTTTGTCCCTCGGCGGGGACGCTGCCTGCGCGGAGTCGGTCCCCTGGGCCGGGGACGCACCTTGGCGCGCTGGCGGCCCGGTCGGAGTTGCGGGGGGCGCGGCAGGGAGTGGCCCCGCTGCGGCCAGGCCCGGAGTCCCCAGTCCCGGGGTCTTCCCCCCCCCCTCCCGGGCGGGTCGGGAAACCACTTTCCCGTGGAGGACGGAATGCAGCCAGCGTTCCTGTGCCTGAGTCAGCGCCTGGTGTCCTGCTACTCACTGCGTTCTCCACATGCATAGTTCCTGCTTCCTTGTGACTGCTGCGAAAGAAAACCCGGTGTCCATAGAGCTTTCTTAGAACTTGCAGGGAGGCTGTAAGTTGAACTTTGAAGCCTGTAAAATAGTTGTAAGTCACTATCAATGAAAGCCGCCTGGGACGATCTTTATTGCAAATTATGTAACTTACTAAGGATAGCTCACCTTCTGTCCAGCTGATCGACACAACAGTAATGTGTGTGGAATTTAGGTTCGGTCGAACAGTTTTTCAAGACACTTTAAAATTAGTGCAGTAGCTAGGAGAGTTTTTAGAAGTGCTGTGCTGTGTCGTGTCTTTAGAGTTTTAAGAATTTAGATTCGGAAGGAAAGCCAGTGTACCAAGAATTCTAAAGTTTTGATTTAGCGGGCAAAGTGAAAGGTTTTTCTAGTTTTAATAGGGCACTATCATGATTTAATGATAGTATTCTAATTGTCCTTTTAAAGTATGCCAGAGATTAATAACCTGTTAAATTTTGCAACAGGAACAAATTATGTGCAGTTTGTTGTTGTCTTTGAAGTATTGGTGGTAATGAAAATTACTAAATACTCTTTCCTTGAATATGAACTTTTTTTATGAAATTACTTTGGACACGATTTCTTGTTTTAAAAGTCATTCTAAACTGTTATATCAGGCTAGCATTAAACATTCAAGAAGAGCTCTATAGGTAAACCAGACAAAAATATGAAGAGATTAATAATCTTTAAAATTGAGTAAATTTTGTCAGGAATGACTAAAAGTCGGCCCCTTGAATTTGGCAGGTGCAAGTGGATTCATAGGGCTAAATTTGTTTTAGAATGTTAAAATAGTGATATATTTAATATAATTCCACCTGAGGGTGATTCATATCGGTACGGTGGTTTAAGCTATACATAATGTTTTCTGAATTGTGACTTAAAAAAAATCCTTCAAATTATGTATGTGTGTTTAGAGATGGTATTTATTACATTGAGCGCATGTGCCAATGGCACTCAAAGGCATTAGACCCTCCTCAAACTGGAGTTACAGGCTCTTGTAAGCCAGCCATTGTTGGTGCTGGGGACATAACTTGGGTACTCTGCAAGAGCCTCTTAACTGGTGAACCCTCCCTCTTGCCCCCCTGTATTGTGGTCTGATTAAAAATCTCAGACTCTGAGTTGGAGAGATGGCTCAGTGGTTAAGTGCACTGATTGATTGCTCTCTGGAAGGACCCATATGGTACCTCACAACTATCTGTAACTCCCAGTTCCAGAGGATCCGACACAAACACACATTCTGACAAAACATCAGTGTACATAAAATAAAAATAAATCATTCAAAACACACACACACACACACACACACACACACACACACACACACACACATCTCAGACTCACCTGTGAATGCCAAAAGCCAAACCTGCTGTCTGTCTTGTCATTTCTAAAATCTTACTGTTCTTTAAGATACTATGTAAACCAGAGTGCTTTATGTTGAGGTTTCTCTTGTAACATATGTACTGCATGTATTAATAAACTCACATAGGGTCTGGAGAGGTCACTCATTTAAGAGCACTGACTGTTGTCCTAGAGGACCTAGGTTCAATTCCCAGCACCCACACAACAGCTCACAACTGTCTGTAACTCCCAAAACCCATGGCAAAATAGTAATACTCATAAAATAAAAACAAATAAATTAAAAAACACATAATTAATGATAATCTCCTTAAAGTCGGTTGATCATGTATCTTAATTGAAACTACAGAATACCTTCACATGAACATCTACACTCAAATTTGACCCAAGTGGGCATTGTAATTTTAACATATTTAACTGTCAGAGTAATCAGACTTTTAAAAAACTCAAGATGATAGTATTTAGCCTATTCTTTACTATTGACCTTATGCTATTACCACCTGTAATTTTTCCTGGGGTAAAATTCGTATGTTATTTTTATGTATGCTATAATTAACAATATGTTGGAAATGTTGGGGGGAAAAAAATCTCATCACAGAGATAGCAAAAACATTGGTCTGACTTTTGTATCAGTACATTTATGTGTCTTATTTCTCTGATATTTTCCTAATTTCAGAGTGTTTGGGAAAAGTGGTACCTTGACGTATGTGTTTTGGAATGTGTTTTTTTTTTTTTTTTTTTTTTTTTTTAACATGAGTACTGAATTACAGGAGCATTAGGTTGGAAATAATCTTGGTGTGTAGATAGCCCAGCCTTTTCATTTTCCAGGGACGGGAAAGTGAAGTCTGTAGAAAATTGCTAAGGAGTGGCAATGAGTTTGAACTAAATCTACACATTTCTTGGTATCCTACCTTTAAGCTGCCGTCACTGTACATTCCTCCCTCTTCTCCCCAGGGTGTTGCTTTGTATGTAGCCCAAGCTGGACTAATGTTAGTAGTGTAACCTAGGCTGGCTCCAAACTGATTCCCTTGCCTTAGACTCTCAAATGCTGGCATTACAGGCATGTGCTACCACACCCAGTTCCTCACTCTGATTGTTAATTACTTTCTCCATATCATATAAATAGCTCACAGGGCTGTGTCCCCCCCCCCTTCTGTCTGTTTTCCTCCCCCCCCTTATCTGAAGGTTATTTTCTTTCTTTTTCACTTTATTTTTTTTTTATTTAAATTTGAAACAAGCTTGTTTTATGTATCAATCCCAGTTCCAAAACCCTCTCTTCCTCCCCTGTATCCCCCACCAGCCCCCATCCCCTGGAAGGGTGAGGCATTCAATAGGGAGTCTTCAAAGTCTGTCATATCATTTGGAGCAGGGCCCAGGCCCTCCCCCCATGTGTCTAGGCTGAGGGAGTGTCCATCTATATGGAATGAGCTCCCAGAGTCCATTTGTATACTAGGGATAAATACAGATCCACTACCAGAGACCCCATAGACTGCCTAGTCCTCTGAAGGGTATTTTCATTATTTTAAACAATGCTTAATAAATACCATTCAATGTGTCTCTGAAAAAATGTGTAGTTTCTCAAAATGTATACTACCTGTAAACGGAACTGTTAATAAAATGGGTTGATGTGCATTTTTAACTTGACTGGTTACAGACAGATAATCCTTTAAGGGTAAATAATTTTTATCCCTGCATTTATTCTATGAGTGGAAGTGATTTCTCATCTTTACCCCCATTATCATTGTCAGATTTTAATTTTTTGTTCATTTAGGTGAGAAATTGTGTATTTGTTTCCTTTTGTTAAAAAAAAAAGGTTAAAATTTTATGTGTTGGCACAGTCAAGAAAGAAACAACAGTTTTGTGTGCTGTCCTTTTTTAGAATTAGCTTTCCCGAAACCTTTTACCCCTGGTAACTACTGATATTCATCCCTATAATTTCTTTTTAAGGTATCACTCCATTTTAATCATAATAGTGCTTTTTTTGGCATTCATTCAAGTTTTTACAGTTTATTACATCCTCTTGTGAAAGACCCATATACTTTCTGTACCCATTTTGTTGTGGGTAGTTTGAGATGTTGAATGCTTTTTATAAAGCATAGGTATGTCTTGAACTGGTGACTCTCCTTCAGATCTCCTTTGTCAGCATCAACCTTGGTTTTAGTTCACTGACTTTCTTCATTCTGGTCTTGCATCCTTTAACTGTTTCCTTGAGTGAGTCTGTCTGTCTGTCTGTCTCTCTCTCTCTCTCTCTCTCTCTCTCTCTCTCTCTCTCTCTCTCTCTCTCTCTCTCTCATCTTTTTGAGGCAGGATTTCCTCTGTGTAACAGCTCTGACTGTCCTGGAACTCACTCTGTAGACTAGGCTGGCCTCGAGCTTAACAAAGATCTACCTGCCTAGTGTCTCCTGAGTGCTAGGATAAAGGTGTGTGCCACCACTACCCAGAAATCTTTTTTTTTTTTTCTTGCACAAGCATGGCTTGAAAGTCTTTGTAAAGGTATGTCATATTCCATGCATTTGCATACCAACCTTGTATAAGTGGCAGGTTAATCTTTATCTTGCCAGTATGTATATCTGTGTGCTGAGCAAGCATCGCCTCTGTTTTTCTTTCCTTTAGCATGAGATATCTGAGATTCATCCATGCTGAGCATATCTACAGTTCCTTCTGTTTATTGCTGAACATGGTGTTCTCTTGAATGAATGTACCACTATTTGTTTATCCATTCACCAGCTGAAGGACATTTTCAAGCTTTTTGTGATTATAAAGTTGCCATAAGGGACTAGAGAGGTAGTTCACTGGTTAAAAGCATTGGTTGTTCTTTCATGGGACCCAAGTTCAATTCCCAGCACCCACATGGCAGCTCACAACTGTCTATAACTCCAATATAAGAGGATCTGATGCCTTTTTCTGGGTTCTTCATGTCCTGCATGCACGTGTTGCACATGTAGGCAGAACACCCATAAAATAATATTTTTAAAATAATTTTTTAAGTGGACATAGATCTGTGTGAATAGGGTTTTTTGTTTTGTTTTACAGTTTTTTTTGTTTTTGTTTTTTGGGTTTTTTTTTTTTTTTTTGGTGTGTGTGTATATTTTCTTTAGGGTGGATACTTACAAGTGGGAATCCTGGGTCACATGAGCAAATGTGAGCTTAACTGTATTAAAATGAAAGAAAACAACAGCAAAATAAAAAACA